TAACCATCGAATTACTGAGCTCGGATTACATATTTATATCACGACAATTCCATACCCAAAGCAGAATTTACATTTTCCACTTTAGTTGCCTGTCATCACGACATTGAGAGTGCTTGATCACCGAAGACAAATAATTTGGAGCGTGGAATATACTTTTGTTTGATTCTAAGAGTAGCCCACTGTTCACGTCTTCAGGTGCTCCACTGCTGTGGCCACATGCGCTCACACAGTGGCCTCAACGAGCAGGACCACAAGGAGCCACCGCTTCCCTACCTGGTGCTGATCTGCGATCCTATTCCACACCCTTCCAACATCGAGGTCCCTCTGGATGCCAAGACTTTTCTCAGCCGCCACACAATGGATATGAAATTCACATATTGTGACGAGAGGTGAGCACGCATGACTCAGCATCATAGTCCTACTTGTTGCCTGTCACCCCCACAGCGATCTCTTTCTCACTACTGTGAAACTTTAAGGTTTGACTTCTCACTTTACGTTGCAGTGGATGTTGATCATTCATTGTGCTCCCACAGGATCACTGAGCTTTTGGGGTATGATCCAGAGGACCTGTTGGATCGTTCTGTGTACGAGTACTATCACGCACTGGACTCAGACCACCTCACCAAGACTCATCACAACTGTAAGCATCACTGCTAAGACCACATGGGATCTTGAATTTAGCCCAAATATTGTTGCAAATAACCTCCGACTGCAGCTTTTTTGAGAGTGACGTATCATCAACGTGCTTGTGTTTGCATTTGTTGCAGTGTTTGCAAAGGGCCAGGTCAGCACAGGCCAATACCGGATGTTGGCCAAGAGAGGAGGTTTTGTGTGGGTGGAAACACAAGCAACTGTCATCTACAATAACAAGAACTCGCAGCCGCAGTGTGTGGTCTGCGTCAACTTTGTCCTCAGGTACCAATGATTCCTTCATAAGAAATAAATCACATTTGGTTATAATGACACATTTTATTTTCAGTGACACTGTGGGTAGTTAAAAAAAAAATCACTCCTTTTTAACAGTACATAAACCCGTGCTCTTCACAGGGGTAAGGGCTGAGCCCTGCCACCAATAAAAAATGTGAGTAATTAACACCCAATGGAAAAACAAATGGATAAAATTTATAATTGCCAGTATTAACAGTTTAAACCATGAATATAATACAAACTGTGATCACAAAACGCTTTTCATCACCCGCAAACTCATCGTACAACATTGCCATTAAAAAGTAAACAGACACAAATGGAGATACGCATGTATAGGCACGTGAGCGAAAATACTACCGTGAGTTTTTGCTTTTTGCATTGAGTGAAGAAGTATCAAATCAACAAATGTCCTTCACGCAAACACTACTTTCCACGTTGCTATGGCGCCATCTTGTGGCATCCTAGAGAGAGACAGCATGCCTCAAACAGTTTTAGTTGAGGATCGGGTCCACAGAAAAATAGGCTGAATGTCGCTGATGTTGGGGCGAAACCTCGCTTTGGTGAATGTCATACATGGAGGTACAAGAACTCGTGACCCATATATGAATAACAAACTGTGACTTGACGCGGGTTCACTGTATCCCTATTCTACAGTGGCATCCAGGACGAGAAACTGATCTTGTCCCTGGAGCAGACAGAAGATGTGAAGCCTGTGAAGGAGGAGCAGAAGGATCAAGAAAAGGTTGTTGTGCTGAGCTGCTCATTAGAGAAGTCCCCAACCCTGCTGAAAAACAAGGAAAGAGAGGAGGAGAAGGCTCCTGAGCTGGATGTGATCAAGCTCTTCACACAAACGCTTGAGCCAAAGCCAGTGACAAGCCTGTACGAGCAGCTGAAGGAAGAGCCCGAGGCCTTGACTTTGCTGGCCCCAGCAGCTGGAGACACCATCATCTCCTTGGATTTCAGCTGCCCTGGTTTGTGGCCTCATACATACTTGGAAGTCCTTTTGACTGTACATGTATGGAATGCTTGCCTCCGAACACCTTGCTGTCCTCTACTACAGAATCTGACATCCAGCTGTTGAAAGACGTGCCCCTCTACAATGATGTGATGCTTCCTGCCACCAGTGAAAAGCTGGCACTGCCTCTTTCTCCTCTGCCGCCCAGCGAGCCCCTCAGTGTCGATGTCACCGCTGTGAACGGGAAAAGTGACAACTATGTTGGGCCCATGTGCAAATCAACAACCAGCAACAGTACAGCAGAGGTAAAGCCGCCAAAACCTCAATTTAAATTTATTTTTAAATTTATATATTGTTGTAATCCACCAAGATTTGGATGTACATTGAGCTTGAGTTCACGAATGGCCTCGTTCATGAAGATTTTTTTTTTGAACCTTTCTATGTTGTGTTCTTGTGTATAGCTAACATTTTTCCTTAAATGAATGGCTACATTAGATTAGTGTATGGAATAAACTTTCACCTAGGTAAAATACATTGTAATGGTAGTTTTACGCACTTCCATAGTGGACTGCAAGACATAATCCAGATAATGCATTTGTTGTTTAATTCTCCAATAAGAGGCAACTCAATTTCTATCTATAGGTCCCTCCTCCTCCGGACTTTTGCTTGACCATGGACCCGGACATCTCTGACTTTAAACTAGACTTGGTGGAGAAGCTGTTTGCCATCGATACACAACCCAAAACCCCCTTTACCATGCAGGTAAAGAAACCAGAAAGGATGGTCTAGCTCATAAATGATCTTTCAAAACAATGAACACAAAATGATACAATGGTTCTCTTCCCGAAAGGCAATGGAGGACTTGGACCTTGAGATGTTGGCTCCCTACATCCCCATGGATGATGACTTCCAGCTGCGTAGTGTGAGCCCCGAACAGCCGCTATCTTGTGGACTTGTCAAATCGCTCGAGAGCTCGTCACACGCCACTCAGGATCTGCATAATGATCTTGGCCTGCCCTTCAGCACGCCAAGCAGTGACACCACGTCCCCGGCACCGCCTGACCCAGTCGCTGTTTCCCCCTCTTCCTCCAGCCTCATTAAGAGGTAAAGGTTCCACCATATGCTCTAGCTGCTAACCTCGACCCCCAAAGTTTTGCATGATATGTAAGGTAGTATCATGTCATGTTTGTGCCGCAGAACGCCACAATTGGACAAAGAGGTGTCCCTACGCACCCTGGCAGCTCAAAATGCACAGCGCAAAAGAAAAATGGATGACATACGAGAAATGGTCGGCCAGGTAACATCTTGGTATTCTCACATCACAAGTGAAATCTCGTCATCATAGTTGCACTTAGTGGGCCCAGTTAGGGAATGAATGGACAATTCTGAACACAGCTGGATTCTGCCGAAAGCACATGAATAGCCAGAAGTTGAGATGCACTGCGTTTCATTTCGAGGAGGTGTGTAGCTGTGAGGCAGTTCCAATCGTTGTCCCTTGTTCTGTAAGGGGAACCCTCATGATTGCCCCACCATATTAAATAACTGCCCCTGGTTATCATCATTTTCAGGTCTAGTTCTGCAACTGAAAATACACTTTTTTTCAGATATTCATTGATAGAGCATGAGGGTATGGATGCCTTGACTCCTTATTGTTAAAAAAAATAAAATACACCTGAAATTTATGTTTTAGATAACATGTCAGAGATTACATTTCATGGAAAAAATTAAGGTTCGGAGATCCACAAGGTCAAATCATAGGTCAAAAGGTCAAGTTACAAAAATATGCACCAATATTCGAAATGATTGCAGATTGGGAATCCTTGTTGAACCCCGTGTTATGATTAACCTCTAATTTGAGATTTAGGGTTGTGCCGTCACTAACAAGTACAAGTCTCGTCAAAATCAAAATCTGCTTGGTTAATCCCACTAGGTGATTTGTCATAGAACAACCCTTAACTGTTTATTTGCATTAGCTGGTGGCAAGCTGGGTCACATAAAATGACATGGGCCAAATGCGAGTTTGACATCTAAATTAACAATTGATGTTTTTCCAGGAAACTTTGCCTCAGGAAATCGTGAAGCAAGGGAAGAAACTGAAGGTTGAGTTGGGCACAACACAAACTGTACTCCTGCTGCCTTCAGGTTGAATTGAGGACATTCCTCTTGTGTATTGCTCCATTGGTGGCTTTTGTTCCATTCTTAATACGAGCTGCTGTCTGTTGTTGTCGTAGATTTGGCAAGTTGCCTGTTAGGCAGCACATCAGAGGCCACCAGGTCCCTCTTCAATCTGCCGCAGCTCACCCGCTACGACTGTGAGGTCAACGCCCCGTTACAGGGCCGCCAGTATCTGCTGCAGGGGGAGGAGCTTCTGCGCGCCTTGGACCACGTCAACTAAGTCCGCTGTTGGACTTGACACTAGTTTCTCCTTCTCATTTTCCTTCTCCCCCTGCCCATTCTCTTATTTATATATCTGAATACGTCCAACTCAAGTTTGGCTGCTGTTTGCGCACATTACGTGAAGTCCATAGCATTCCACTGTGACAAACGCCATAGCAGCATCTGAATCACTTCGGGGGATCACAAGGTTCCAGTTTGTTGATTCTTTCTGTTTCCATTTCTCTCCTCCTGGGAGTCTCTCAGCACACGACGCCTCTCAGATGACCTTTTCCAGCAGGTCACCAAGAATCTGGCGCAACTGCCAGCAGTGTATTGTAAGCTTCAGTCGCACAATTTATATTTTCTTAAAAAGAATACTGTTACCAGCAAAATATATTAAGCCTTTTTAAAACTAGTTTTAATGAAATTTGAACACTTTAATTTTTTGCTCCCACAGTTTTTTGTCTTAATATCTGTAGTCCACAAATATGGTTAGAATGTTGGCTCCATTTATTCACCGTCTTGTCTTGTTAGTCTTTGAATACATTTAACTGTGTAGCAGTCCAGTACATCAGTCACTTTATTACTTTCCTGTATGTGTGTTATTGTATGTACTGTACACCAGCGAAATTAACTTGGTTTGGGTTCTCAAATTGAGCTCTGCCAAAACATGTAACCGGGTTTGCGTTGCTTCACATTGCTTTTTCTCCATCAACCAGGATCCGGGTGGCTTTTTTTTTTCTAAAGATGGGTTACACTCAAAACACAAATAAGAGGGATCTGAACAGGCTGCATTTTACTTATGTGATCATAGCACCATTTGTAATTTGTCCAACATCGCTCAGTTAATTGTAGTCTGTGTAATTGAACAAATAATCAATTATACCATGCTTCTTGTTACTAACATTAAATGGCTGTCTTACAATTATTACTTCATGTGTCATGAATTTACACCGTCAGAAGGCGTTGAATGAGAAATAGATGAATGTTTATCAAATCAAATGCTGACTCCATAAAATGTGAAAACATTTAAAAGGAGATACAGTACACTGCATCGCCCCTCCCGCCCCCGACACGTGCGCGCGCACACATTTTCAAAAAAGGTCAGCTCACAAGATTTGACGTACAATTTCAAACTCGATAGGTGAGCAGGCACTCTAGAGATACAGCTATAAAACAGAACAAAAATATAACGGTGATTCAAAAGTCAATTTTACATACCATGTGCCCTTTATTTCCAGGCAGCTATGGCAACTAACAGGTTTCACAGTTATATCCATGTACATAATTTATTTGCTTGGCATGTGAGCAAAACGTGAGATGTGGTGTGGCTGCTTTTCACTCTGTGTATTCAGGAGTCATTTGCAGTTGAAGCTGCTGTTCTCCTCGTTGCACCACCACGGTGATTTTATCACTACCACGCACGGCAGTGTAGATCTCCTCTGAGGTGTTCACCTTCACTCGATTGATCTCCAGCACAACATCTCCCGGCAGCAGTCCGGATCTGACAAAGATGACCGTGTGGGTGAAGAGTAAAAGGTGAGATGTATTTTATTGTATGTTCTTATGATTTACAGTAGTTCTATTATTTTCTGAACTGTGGTATGATGAGGTGGTGCGGGTAAGTCTCCACTGAAAGCCCAAAAGGTACAGAATGTATGGCCTGCCACTGATTGTGATCCACTGTCAATATGTCTGCTCACCTGTTTGCGGGAGAGCCCCTGATCACTCCGAGGATCAGAATTCCATGTGTCACTTCTGGGAAAGATGCATCTTTCAGCTTCAGCTCAGCAATGATGCTAAGGCACCAGGAGAGATACAAAACAAAAAAAGGTTTCAGATGACAGTTTAACTGGATTGGAATTTTTTTTTTCTCTTTCCCAACCCTTGCACATAAAAAGCTGACCTCGGCGTCAGTGTTAGCATGACGACGCCAATGTACCGCCGCTTTGTCTCGGACTCGCCAAACCAGGAACCTATCATTTGAAATTGGAACAACAGGGTGTGTCAGTGTTAGTCATTTCCAAAGATCTCTTTTCACTTTCTGCACAGGAGGCATGAGGAAACAAAAACACTTATACTTTTTCTTTTGGCAGCTTGATCAAGGAATAGTCTCAGACGATCGGACGGGATAGCAAAGGAGATGCCCGGAGTGACTTTCATAGTGTTTATTCCAATGACCTCACCATCCTGAAGAAAAAGTCATATTCAAGTGATCAATACAGGTGACAATCATGTTCACAAATCATTTCAACTAACTTCCTGTCTGGATTCATGTATGAAGGGATGGGTGTGTACCGATACCAGCCTTATTTTAAAGCATCAGGTACTTACGGAGGTGGCTGCCGATACCAGGCAACAATACCAAAACCAGGGCAACCCCCCCCCCCCCAAAAAAAAAAACCCAAATCTGTCTGATGTCTTTGTTCACCATTTTTGTCAATGTGTTAAGTAAAATTATACATATCAAAAGTACGAGATGTATCGGTACCCAGTATTGTTGAGTACTCACAGAGTGAATATCGGTCTGGGAAAAAAAAAGTGGTTTAGAACATTCCTACATGTATGTGAATCATATTTTGTCCACCCCTGATTTAGAAAGTGGCACCGACTCACCAGGTTGATGAGAGGACCTCCGGAATTGCCAAACTGCAAAGTCAAATAATCGTCATAAGACACATTGGTAGTTGCACTGTCTGCTTCGTCACTGTAGCTCGCACTCACGTCGATTGCCGCATCGGTTTGGATGTACTCCATGTTCGAGTTCGACAGGCCAAGCTCCTTACTGCCCCTCTGCACTGAGCTGATGATCCCTGATGTGATCGTGTTCCGTAACGCAAACGGGCTTCCCATGGCCACCACAAACTCTCCTTGGCGGACATCAGATGAACGGCCAAGTGCGAGTGTGGGTAGGGGATTCTGCGAGTCAGGGTAGGGGGCAGGTTAAACCTCTGCTGGTTTGAACATAAAACACTCAAACAAGTAAAGTTTACTTGGACACCATAATCCAGAAGTTGAGAATATGCGAACCATTCCACGTGAGAAAAAGCTGTTACAGAGCTACTGTAAAAATGCTTCACCTATGAAGGGAAATCACATTTGTATGTGATATGTCACAACCACATCAGAGGATGTTCATTTTATTGGTGCTGATTCCAGTATGTAGGCATGCACTTAAAAAAAAAAAAAAAAGATCCATGATAATTTGTTGCAAATTATTCTGTGGACCGTCAAGTTATGTCTCGCAGACCTCCGCAGGTCCTGGGCCCCAGTTTGAGAACCGTTCCAAGCAGCAAGAGAAGGGGACATTCATACACACAAACGAGGCATTTTGGGCACATCCCTTTTTAGTGTTGCGCTACAATCTTTACTTTCCATGACTGTGTATTGGAGGCATGCGGAACAAATTCTGCCTCTTTTTGCTCACCTTTGCAGAGATTTTGATGGTGGCGATGTCCGCTACCGGATCGACATCTTGCACGGTGGCGTGGTACATATCTCCATTAGTGAGCTTGACACGAACACCTCGCTTGTTGGCCACCACGTGAGCATTGGTCACGATAAGGCCATCACTGCTTATAATAAAACCAGAGCCATTGGACAATGCCTCTTCCCTCCGGGAAAATGGGTGTCTATTTAAAAAAAAAAAAAAAAAAAGAGGGGGAGTAGTTTCATTTTTTTCAAAGATTCACACAGAAAACTCAGTGACCATGTTTAATGAATGAAAAAAGGTCTGTGTGTGTGAGCAATAGTTCAAGCACTCGAAATTTCACCTTGCCAATACTATTTACTGATTTCTTTTGTCTTCCATGATAGGAGACGAATTATTTTTGCGTTCAATCAAAATAAAACATTTTGTTTTTAACTTTACTGTTTATTTTTGCCGATTTTCTAACATGCTACAGACCAAAGCAGTGACTTAACATGAATTTATTTCTGTTTATAATACTGTAATGTCATGTTTTTTAATAAAGTGATGGGAATTAAATCAGCTGTGTAAAATCCGATTCACTAACAAAAAAAAAACAAAAACCCAACAGATTACTTGATTAAATATTTGCACCCCTTCTACATATTACAATAAATCTGACTTCTGTCTCACAATTTGAAATTGTCACTCAAAAGCAAATGGGGCCCTCAATATAGTGAAGTCTAATGAAAACAAATAAGTACAGTATGGCGGTAACTGAGAGTGCCTTCTTGTGCACTACTGTATTCTATTCGAGGTCGTCATTGTGTCAAGATATATCATCTTGTGACATTTTTCTTTGGTGGTATGCCTGGAGACATTTGTAGTGTCGTACTATATATGTGCATTGGCTTGGTTGGAATACTGTCGTGACATTTGGTCCACCAGTTATGACAACTCACCTTCCCACAATTTCGATGTAGACGACAGCCGGCGTGGACTTTTCCACGACATCTGCTATGAAGTTGTATTTATGCCGAGGGGTGTCGGGTTTAAAAGGTGAAGCGCACTGAGCTGACGGCAGGATGCGTTCAAGTATGCCGTGTGATTTGGGCTCAGTTACAGGTCTGCCGTCCTCTCGACGATCCAAAAGCGCAACAAAAGTGCACAGTCCCAAGCCCAAGGACAATGACCGAAGCAGACTGGATTGGCTGCGGTCGCCTTGTCCTTCCCTGTCCCAGGTCGGAGCCCTGCGGTCCAGTTGTGTGTGGTCGCCAGAGCCCCCGTGGTTGGATATCAGTACCGTAGAGACCCGCCGGCTGCCTGCTAACTCATTAGTTCTCCAAGTGTGTGTCCTTAACGCCGCGAGGAAACGCCGACTGAAAACAGCCGAGTTTGCTGCCATACTGCATAACTTAATGAAGAGGAAATACGAATAATTTGAATGGCATTAAATGAAAAGATATCAAAATTATCATTTGGATTTAAATTGACGGGAACCATAAAACAACAACCAACCCGGAAGTATGCTGCTCGTATTTCTTCCTCTTTTCTTAATGGCGGTTGACAAACTGGATTTAAATAACAAAACGTCACCAGCTGGACTGGAGTGGACATTACATTTCCAAGATAGATCGATGGAAAGGTAGATAGATAGCTTTTTACAAGTGAATAAAAACGCTCAGCTCTTAAAGTAACATCATGACCAAAACTGAAAAGCAATAGGCCCAAGTGTTTATCAAAACGGCATTCCTAAAACGTAAAAATAATTATTTGACCACCACAAAAACTTAAAAAATAGCTGCAGGCAATGTGTTTTTCTGACCGTAACATTGAAAATAGTTTAGTTTTATTTAGAGTGGAAACGAGTGAATTTTAATACTTGGGTCACTTCTCAGATGTAGCTCAAAATGTTCAAACCAATTTTTAAAAAAGCAAAATATATGGATAAGTGATTCAAAGAATGGATAGACGGGTGGAAGTTGCTGGAGGTGCTTCTTGGGGGTTGTTAGAGCAGTCTGAGAAGTTGCTGGTGGACCTGAATGAATGAATGAATGTGCTCTATAATTCCAACGTTCGTTTTTGACACCACAATCAAGTGACTGTAAAATGTTTATGTTAAAATGGGTTCGAGGTCCTCAAGCAGGAAAGAGTAGTGAAAATATCGCTCCACCAATGGGGGCCACCCTTGACATCTAAATCAAGCGCACCAGGAGAAAAATGGCATTCAAACCTTTTCCAGCCAATCAGATCGCTGAAAGAAGACAGCGCTGTAGTTTGAATACACTGCGGAAACAGTCGGGAGTCAGTTTTTTTTTCCACCGAGTGGAGAAAAATGGCTACAGAGGCAATGTAGGCGAAAGTTAATTAATTAAATGTGTACGATGCAAGGTGGTCGCTGCTTTAGAGGTCTAAATGAGATTTTCGATTGGAATAATAATTTGTTTTTTTTTTTCTTAGCGACGTGAATGTTTTTCTTTGCGGCTGGCTAAAGTTAGCTTCAGTAACTGCATTGCTATCCATATGTACTTGGCAAACTCCTCATGTAAAGCTCGTCGACTAAATTAAAAAAAATGGTAATTTTGGACTAAGAAAACGTGTTCGTTTTTTGTTGTTGCGCTTCGTGTCATAAAACCTGATTGAATGTTTTTTTTTTGTTATGTTTCCACACGTAATGATGACTTAACGACAGTTTGTTTAAAAAGACACAACGTAAAGGAGTCCCACGCTTTTTGTGAGAAGAAAGTGAACGTCGTTTTTAGTTTTTAGGGTGTAGTTTAGCAGGGTAGGAGACGAAAATGATGGTCGAGGAGAGAAATGTGGTTCGCCGAGTGGCTCTGCAGCATCTCCGCACAACGTATGGGATCAAGACAAAGAACTGGAACAAAACCAAATCAGCCAGTTGTAAGTCAACAACAACAAACTCGGTGAGTAAACAAAGATGATGTTTACATTATATACTACTTAAACTTTGCTCTGTAAGCCTATGTGCAACCAGTTTATTTCATAAACTTAAAATAGAACATGTTCTGGCTACAGTCTTGGAGAATACAAAACAACAGCATATAAAACAGGATCGATTCTAAGACAGGCTTTGTTCTTTTTTTTTCAAAGTGGCTTGGAGTCACAAGATTTGTCATCACGAGACTTGATTCTGTTTGAAATGACCTTTTACTTCCCCATTTGGATAAGCTCCAAAGAAACGTGCAAAAAGTCTGCAGAAAAGAATGCTCATTGTTGGGGACCGGGACAAAATTCTAACACAAGAAGACGGTGGTGCAAAATCTCCCAAAACAAATGATGAGCACCTTTTAATGGAATGTAGCACTGTCAAGTATAACCTCAGTAATAATAATAAGAATAATAATAATGATGATAGTAATAATAATAATAATAATGATAAGAAGAATCCTACATTTATAGATCTGCAACAGATCTGCACTCAAGTGTAAAAGCCACATTTTTGATACATTATTGATCACATTAGATGAGTGTACATGAATATTGTTTGACATGTTTCAATGAGAATCTCAAGGATGCAATGCCATAGATAGTTCCAGATTCAATTAGGTCTGCTATAATTCTAATCCCTCTCTATTTTTTTCATATTGTTTCCCCCAGACCAAGGTGTTTGGAGTGCCATTGGAGCTTTTGCCATATTATGACATGGCACATGGGAGTGTGCCACGGTAAGTTTATTTGCTCTTTCACATATACAGTGGAACCTCCAAATTTGAAAGCCCCGAGATATGTACAATTTGCAGTTCAACCCAAATTTTCTGGGGGGAAAAAATCTGCCTCATGTGTCAAACAGACATCATCACGCTTGTCTGAGACCTCAACTCAGTAAGCATATCAAAGATAAATTCCTTTGGAGTGTTTTGCTTTTTCTTTGGCTTTGTTGAGAGTTACAGTGACGACACCAGTGAAGGATAGCAGTGATCGCAAAGAACCAAAGAACCGGTCTGTCTTTCTGACACGCATGATCATTCACCAATGTTTTAAACGGCTGCAGTGTCTTTTTTTTTTTTTTTTTTTTTTTTTTATGAGTGTAGAAGCCAGCATATCTTCTAGCGGAATGCATTATGAACCATAGGGGGTCACATGTTTTGATAACTATACCTGCCAGAACAGATACTGAAATTAAACATACCAAGAAAATGATTGTGCCAAACCACCAGCAGAGGGAGGCGGAGCAACTCATCACAACATTTCATACTGGTCCTGTCCAGTGGCTAAGTTGCTTTTTTTATACTTAGTTGAGAGATAAGAATGAATCGGAATGTGAATGGTGACAACTGTAACCTGGAATTAATAATCGTTTTGACAGTATTTCCTACGAAACGGTGCCATGTGGCAGAATACAATTTGCGGTGATCTAATGTGTTGAATACTGGCAACTTGGCAAGTTAGCCCATACAGTATTACAATTGCGCTGACATCCCGTATCTGTGCTGTCCTAGCTTTCTGGTGGATGCATGTATGAAGTTGCAGGCGCATGTTGACACAGAAGGCCTATTCAGAAAATCGGGCTCTGTTGTTCGCCTGAAAGTGCTGCAGGTGAGTGATTGGTGACTTTGCTCTCAATGTGCGACCTTGACCCCTTGAAATGGGTTTCCGACAGCTGGGTTTTGTTGTATGTTGCCAGACTAAAGTGGATTCCGGTGAGGAGTGCCTGTCTACCGCGCTTCCCTGCGATGTGGCCGGCCTGGTGAAGCAGTTTTTTAGGGATCTGCCAGAACCTGTTCTGCCCACTGAGCTGCAGGAGGCCTTCCTCAAGGCCCAGCAGCTTCCCACCAAGGAGGACCGCACCTCTGCCACCATGTTGCTGTCTTGCGTCCTGCCTGACAGGAGCCTCAGTGTTTTGCACCACTTCTTTGAGTTCCTCCAGAATGTCTCCAAGAGGTGCTTGCATTTCCTTTTTTTCATTTGACATTGATGTGGGGCGGCGTGGTGGTCCGCCTCACAGTGCAGAGGTGCAGGGTTCAATTCCGGCCCCGGCCTTCCTGTCTGAAGTTTGAATGTTTTCCCCGTGCCTGAGTGGGTTTTCTTTGGTTTCCTCCCACATTCCAAAAACATGCATGATAGGTTAATGGAACGCTCAAAATTATCCCAGGTGATTGTGAGCGCGGGTGGTTGTTCGCCTATGTGTGCCTTGCGATTGGCTGGCAACCGGTTCAGGGTATACCCCACCTACCGCTCGATGACAGCTGGGGTAGGCTCCAGCTTGCCTGCAACCCTTGTGAGGATAAGTGGACTAGAAAATGGAATGTGGGAGGAAACCGGACTACCCTGCGAAAACCCACGCAGGCCCGGGGAGAACATGCAGACTCCACACAGGAAGGCCGGATCCGGTATCGAACCCATGACTTCTGTACTGTGAGGTCGGCGCACTCTCCACTGGACACCAGGCTGCCTATTGCTAATCCACAAAAGAAAAATTAGTACGCCTGCTGTAAGATGTTCCTGCTGTAAGCACAATTAAGCCATGCCTGCCACCTAGTGATGAATGCTGATAATATTACTTAAAACCAAAGGCACCCGCTGCGTACTTGCAATTTGGCACACGCAGATTCGCAGATTTTTCTTCCTCAATGTTTTTAAATTGTTTTTTCCCATTTTCCTGCATTTAACTCCAGTTTTTCATGGAAGTGTATCATGAATGTTAATCAGCGTTATCGCCAGTTGCCCATCCTTCATCTAAATTATCGTGGAAGCGTAGGCGATTAAATAGCGTCAAAACGGGTCGAAACATGCTGCATAAGAGGTACAACACTTATAAATAAGTAAGTCAACTAATTGCCGACTACATTTGATGATGTAATCATCTAAATCGGTGAAAGGAAGAGTCCGCCTCGGCCGACCAATGGTATGTAATTCCATAATAATTTGCATAATTAATGTATCATTTATGTGCTGTCATTTCCTCATGTGGATGGCCATGGATTTATTTTTATGCAATTTGGGCAAAAATGGACTCATGCTTTGTCAGTATGACATAGTCATACTGGATTTGAGTCACAACTCTCATTGTATCAATCCCTTCTGATATCGTTTGATTCCAGGAGCGCAGAGAATAAGATGGACAGTGCTAACTTATCCGTAATCTTGGCTCCCAATCTCCTCCACTGTGGAGAAGGGACAGAGAAGATGAACGCCAACACAGAAAAACGCATCAGATTGCAGACGGCTGTTGTTTGCTGCCTCATCGAGCACGCTCATAACTTTGGTAGCACTTGACGCGCATCCTCAGCTGCTGCTCTTCCTGGCCTCAGTCTGGTTTAACTCGAACTGTTCCCTGGTCTGGGCCTCACAGGTGCCTTGCCAAAGTTCCTTGAAGAGAAGGTTTCAGACACGATGCGCCGTGAGCCAGCAATTCTGTCGCCTCTGTTCAATGAGCTTAAGGAGCTGGACCAGAACTCAGGGATGAGGGGGAGACACAGACACAGTCTTGGAGGTAAGATGTGATTGTCAGGGATTCAGTGTACGAGTGGGCATCATGATCAACCATGTTATAAAAAATTTGTTGGATAAATTGTGTAGTAAAGCAGCCGATTATTTATTTACCCACCAGGTTTCTGCAAGGAATATTAATAATGTCTCCACTGTTATTTAATGTCAATGTTTACTCATCAATTGTTGTACACATCTTTAGGAGGTCATTGATTTAATCTCAAAATGGAGGACACTCCTTGGTAGCAACGTGCCAATCGCAAATCATCCTCATAGTCGATCAAGCGCAATGAGTGACGTGCACATGCAACCAAAAAACAAAAGGCTTTGTCTTCATCTCTGTTGAGTTGAAGTTCCCCAAGTACTTGTGGTTGAACCCTTGTTTTTTTTTTTTTTTTTTTTTTTTTTAGTCTTTTCTTCTGCCACTCCCGTGATTGCGACACCATCCTCCAAGCGAAAACTGCCTGTGGATTCCGGTTATTCTTTTGGATTCTCAAACAAGAAACGTAAATCTGTCAAGAAGAATCTTGGGATGGAATTACTTCCCAGTTCCTTGTTCAGCGGCACGTCCACTCCCGGATCAGGTATTTCGAATTGGATTGCTCTCGAAAGTCTAGCAAAACGTTCTGCTGTGTGGTTTTCTTCAGGAGCGTTCCCTTCTGTTCTATGTGAAGCTTGCAGCGCCTCAGGGGTGTTGGATTCATCCCAAAGTGCTCTGTCCTCTGATGGGAAGTGTCAAAGGCAGCCAGCCACATCAGCAAGGAAAAAGAGCAGACGACTGAGCGGCAGACATGTAGTCAGCAGGTGACCACTCCACACGAGCCTTCAAATCTCATTGTTCACACAGTGGACACATGATTAGGCAGACCCACACAAAAGCAACGAGTCGCAATACAAGGACTCCATCCTTCTCAATGGCATTTATTTAATTCCAAGACACGTAGGAAGTATTTTAACGTGAATTCATCATAAAACACTTGCCGCATTTTCTGCACTATGAAGCGCACTTACAAGCATTCAATTTTCTCAAAAGCCGACAATGTACCCTTTAAGCCGAAGTGCCGTATAGAGCAGAAAATACGGTAACTACGTGCAATAGTCATATTTTAAATGTTTAAAACTGTTGAGTATTTTTTTTTAAAAGCTATACTGTCACCTGGTGGCATTTCATGCAATTATTCTGTGTGGCTGTCAGAAAGCAGCGTGAACATGTATTGGGAAAGTAATTGAATGGTCAACATGGCAATAAATTATGTATATATTGATCATTGCATTGGTTTATATCCTATTCCAGAGTTGAATCTGGAAGAGCCGGCTGCTTTTCTCCCAAAGTCAACAAGAAAGAAGCACAGCGCAAGTCTCTGCGCCAGCGTTTCAGTTTGGGGAGGAGCCACAAAGATGCCGTAAGTGCGCTCCACTGATCGGAGGAAGTCGACGAATTATATATATATATATATATATATATATATAAGTTTGCATGTTTACATTTACCGGTAATCATTTTAAACTTGATAAATGCTGCTTCTTCTGGTTGTTCTCAGATTTTTGAATTTGGGGTAGGGTATGGTACACAGCTAAAATATATTTTTGAAACCCAATTCCCAATCGTTTTTACGACGCTAAGCACAATACTTACGCGACACAATCTTAAGTATAAATATGGTATTTGTGAAATAATTTTGATACGTTGGGTGAGTGGTCAATGAATAACAAATGTCCTCGAGTTAAATGTAATCAAATTTTTGACTTAATAAAACCTGCTGACCACCAAGAGCAAAATCTCATTTCTTCCCTCATCCTCTGAAGAACTAACTCCAAAAATCATCCAATTAACAAATAATGTTGCATTCGGGGTAACATCTGTGGGTTCATTTAACATTTTAACACTAATCCTAAAAGTCCTCTGACATCTATTTCATCTTTCATTTCTCATTCCACGCTGGTGGCTGGTGTAGGGATCCGAGTCTATAGGTTGGCGACTCGCCACCCAGGAGAGCACCACCGGTTTTTGTTTCACCAAAGAGGCTACGATCAAGCCATCGCTTCTGCCCACAAATGCACAATCCAACAGTAAGTACCTGAGGGCGCTGGTTTCTCTGCGTTGCTGCTTTTAATACTTTGACCCTTTGCTTGACTAATTCCTGCTACTGTCCTACCCTAATAGGTTCAAAGTTTATAAGCAAGTCTGAGGACAACTTACTGACCCCGCAGTGTAAGCCCCGTGCCCGCCACACCTCATGGAGCTGGGTGGCCCCTGGAGAAGCACAGCTCTTTGCCGGAGGGGCCTTCCCTGAAACGCCCACAAGTGTTTGCCAAAAGAGCCATTTCATGTCCGAACCCGCCGTTGTCGTGTCCAAACCTTTGACTGGGTCCAACCTGCCCAAAAAGCTTTGTTGCGCTTCCAGCGCGGAGAGCCTGGAAATTGAATCCTCCATCTCCAAAGCCTCGTGCCGGACAGTAGCATCCCCGCCGAAGGTGGAGAACGCCCTCGTAGAATTGGGAGCTCCAACACCAGAGTCCAAAACACAGCTGTCAGACAGCATCCTGCTCCCTCCGCCCAAGACTCCCCCAGTTGTGCGTTTAACTGAGGACACATTTATGTCCAAGTTGCTACCTCATCATGAGCTAAACGTTACCTTTGACATAGCCGCCTTATCACCTTTGCATATTGATAGTATCGTTTTAGATTCTGCTGGGAGTTGCAGTCCTGCTCAGGGTTCATTTTTCACTGCTGCTGTTGGGCACAATAGCTCAGCGATGGGTGGAAGTGACGACTCAGCCGACCAGGTTTGCTGTAGCAGACTGATTGAAGCTCTAGACGTACAGAGTCCGGCACACTTTCGGATGGGTATCTCGCCAGGACTCCGGTCCACCCCCTACGCGCCGCCCCTTGAGCTTGCAGATGAGCAGGGCACAGCATATCGCAAGGATGTGTCTTCCTCCAAGGCTAGCACCCAAATGCAACATCAACCGCCACACGCTCCAGATTGCCGCCATCCGCGTGTGGCAGAGCACATTCAACATTTCAACAAACTAACCCTTAAATCTCCCAGAGGCGCCGAGGCCAAGCATGTCAGGTCGCCGCTCAAATTTCAGCGCACTCCCGTGCGTCAGGCCGTCCGGAGGATCAACTCTCTCCTCGGAGAGAACAGCAGACCCGCTCGAAATGTGGATATGATTGACACTCGAGGCATCAAAGCTGTGAAAGCTCTGAGCTTGGAGAGCGGCCTTTCCCCGCGCGAGCAGCTTCAGCCATCCAAGGGAGAGGCTCAACTGGTTCTGAACAGTGCCAAACCGCTGAAGAAACCACCCCCTGTGCCACCCAGAAAGCCAAGCCTATTGGCTGCTAGAAGCAACACTTCTGCTCTTGGCGACATGACCAACAAGTTCCAAAGCAGGGCCAATGTGGACTCGTCCATCTGGCAGGCAGCAGCAGCGCAGAAGGTTGTTTTGAAGCAGGTCACAGAGGATGAGGCGCGACATTATAGAGGTTCACCCAGAAACCCTCTGAAACAACCACGACTGCTGCCGGCTACGAAACCTGTTGATTTGTAGCAATGCTTCTTTTGCCATCATAAATTACAGTTGATTTGAGTCATTGATGTGGGATTTAATTTATTTGTGGCTTCAATAGGTGCTGCGTATATTGTCATGGCCTTCTCAAGAAATGTGCCTTTGCCTTACGATACTTTCCAGTAGGTTTTAGATTGTAGAGTGTTGGTGAATCTTTTTTTCGTGGTGGAATTCCAGGAAATTGTAATATCCCTTTAATTTATGCATTCTATGGCTATTACTGTTTACATTTGCTCATGTTTCTTTTTTATTGTTAAATTGTTTCTTGTTTTTGTACTAGGCCAGAAAAAGTACAGTTTTTGATGGGGTGCGGGGGGATAGCCAAATAGTATTCAAGAAATCAGAAAATTCCGCAACCAGTAAAACACACATGACAAATAAACTCAATAAGTACCTCTAAAAATGTCAGCGGTCATCTTGTTGCACAAAGGACAATATCTTAGCAGCCACTAGAGGGGGCTGCATAGCAATTTCTGAGTTTGTTGTGCTGTCCCGGACGACTATCGCTGCAAAACAAATGACTTCTACTGTATATAAATACATAACATATTAAAAAAAATGTAGTGAAACTATGTTGCAGAATTATGTTCTTAGAGCATACAAAGTACATTCATACCTACATACACACATACCCACAGTACTTTATTCTCCCTATTCAATTTACAGGTAAAAGCCTCCTAAATTAATTGCCAAGATCGGTGCAATATTTATTAAAGAAGTCACCAACCTTCTTGAAACTGAGAGCCACTTCTTGGGAACCGATTAATGCAAAAGGCTACCAGTGTGATAAACCTCTGAAATAAATTTGCTCAAATTATCATTAATAATACATATTAATATATTCATTAAAGTGAAGACTGTTCATTTTAATGATTTCTCAAAATAATTAGGGTACAAATATCAACATTTAACAGTTGATTTCTAGACATTTATGACTACATTTTGAAACGATCAGTTTTACATCCTTCCGAGAAAATAATGCCCCATTCACTGGTAAGCTCTTTTTCGACCAGGCCTACGTGCCACTCATGTGATTCTTCGGCGCTCGCAGCCGACAACGTTGGTAGTGATGGAATTTTCGTCTCTTTTCGGTGGTCCGGTTCATTTGAATCGGCTCAGTGAAAAGAGACGGCTCTTTTTGGCTCTCAAACGGCTCTTTTAACTTTAGCTTTTCTTTGAAATATTTATGACAAATTTAGCATACATTTTGATAAGTGACTTCGTGAACTAAATATTGCACTCTACTGACTGCAAATAGCAACAATTATCAAGCAAAGAAATGGATTTTTATTTGTTTTATTGAACATTAAAAAGGCTCCAAAGTTTGGAGACTTTTTTTAATTTTGTTGCTTGTTTATTGTTTGGAGTCCAAACAGCAGATATTCCACGAATTGCACCTTATTAAAAATATTCATTCTGTGTCTTTTGTGCATTTTTTCACTTTTAAATTATCCTGCGGGCCTGATCAAACCTCCTTTCCGGCCGGTTCCAACCGTATGTTATACACCCCTGATGTATATAGTAAGGAGTTTTTAGCCGAAGAAAACGACGATGTAAAGGAAGGCGTTTTAACCCGAAAAAACAACCATGTATAGGAAGGCGTTTTTCGACGAAAAAAACGAACATGAATAGAAAGGCGTTTTTAGCCGAAAAAAAACCGACCATGTATAGTAAGGCGTTTTAAGCCGAAAAAAACGACCATGTATAGTTGTTTTTAGCCGAAAAAACCGACTATGTGTAGTAAGGCGTTTTTTGACAAAAAAAAACGACCATGTATAGCAAGGTGTTTTTCGCCGAAAAAAAACGACCATGTATACTAAGGCGTTTTTAGAAGAAAACAACGACCATGTATAACAAGGCGTTTTTCGACGAAAAAAAAAACGACGATGTATAGTAAGGCGTTTTAAGCCGAAATAAACGACCATGTACAGGAAGGTGTTTTTAGACGAAAAAAACGACCATGTATAGTAAGGCGTTTTTTGACAAAAAAAGACGACCATGTATAGCAAGGTGTTTTTAGCCGAAAAAAAAAAGACCATGTATGGTAAGGCGTTTTTAGACAAAAAAAAACGACCATGTATATAGTAAGGCGTTTTTAGCCGAAAAAACGACCATGTATAGTCAGGTGTTTTTAGCCCAAAAAAACGACCATGTATAGCAAGGCGTTTTGAGACGAAAAAAAAGGACCATGTATTGCAAGGTGTTTTTAGCCGAAAAAAACCGACCATGTATGGTAAGGCGTTTTTAGACAAAAAAAAATGACCATGTTAAGGCGTTTTAACCCGAAAAAAAACGACCATGTATAGTAAAGCATTTTAACCCGAAAAAAACGACCATGTATAGTAAGGCGTTTTTAGACAACAAAAAACGACCACAATGTATAGTAAGGCGTTTTTAGATGAAAAAAAAAGATCATGTACAGTAAGGGGTTTTTAGACGAAAAAAACGACTATGTATAGTCAGGCGTTTTTAGCCGAAAAAAACCGACCATGTATAGTAAGGCGTTTTAACCCGAAAAAAACGACCATGTATAGTAAGGCGTTTTTAGACAAAAAAAACGACCATGTGTAGTCAGGTGTTTTTAGCCTAAAAAAACGACCATGTACAGCAAGGCGTTTTAACCCATAAATCGAAAAAAACGACCAAGTATAGTAAGGCATTTTTAGACATAAAGAACGACCATGTATAGTCTGGTGTTTTTAGCTGAAAAAAACGTCCATGTATAGTAAGACGTTTTTAGATGAAAAAAAACGATCATGGCCATGTTTTGTAAGGCGTTTTTAGCCGAAAAAAACGACCATGTATAAGAAGGCGTTTTTAGCCGAAAAAAAAACGACCATGTATAGTCAGGTGTTTTTAGCCGAAACAAACGACCATTTATAGTAAGGATCGAGTTTTTAGATGAAAAAGAACGACCATGTACAGTAAGGCGTTTTTAGATGAAAAAAACGACCATGTATAGTAAGGCGTTTTTAGCCGAAAAAAACGACCATGTATAGGAAGGCGTTTTTAGCTGAAAAAAACGACCATGTATAGTCCGGCGTTTTTTGCCAAAAAAAACGACCATGTATTAGAAGGCGGTTTTAGCCGAAAAAAACGACCATGTATAGGAAGGCGTTTTTAGCTGAAAAAAACGACCATGTATAGTCCGGCGTTTTTTGCCAAAAAAAACGACCATGTATTAGAAGGCGGTTTTAGCCGAAAAAAACGACCATGTATAGGAAGGCGTTTTTAGCTGAAAAAAACGACCATGTATAGTCCGGCGTTTTTTGCCAAAAAAAACGACCATGTATTAGAAGGCGGTTTTAGCCGAAAAAAACGACCATGTATAGGAAGGCGTTTTTAGCTGAAAAAAACGACCATGTATAGTCCGGCGTTTTTTGCCAAAAAAAACGACCATGTATTAGAAGGCGGTTTTAGCCGAAAAAAACGACCATGTATAGGAAGGCGTTTTTAGCTGAAAAAAACGACCATGTATAGTCCGGCGTTTTTTGCCAAAAAAAACGACCATGTATTAGAAGGCGGTTTTAGCCGAAAAAAACGACCATGTATAGGAAGGCGTTTTTAGCTGAAAAAAACGACCATGTATAGTCCGGCGTTTTTTGCCAAAAAAAACGACCATGTATTAGAAGGCGGTTTTAGCCGAAAAAAACGACCATGTATAGGAAGGCGTTTTTAGCTGAAAAAAACGACCATGTATAGTCCGGCGTTTTTTGCCAAAAAAAACGACCATGTATTAGAAGGCGGTTTTAGCCGAAAAAAACGACCATGTATAGGAAGGCGTTTTTAGCTGAAAAAAACGACCATGTATAGTCCGGCGTTTTTTGCCAAAAAAAACGACCATGTATTAGAAGGCGGTTTTAGCCGAAAAAAACGACCATGTATAGGAAGGCGTTTTTAGCTGAAAAAAACGACCATGTATAGTCCGGCGTTTTTTGCCAAAAAAAACGACCATGTATTAGAAGGCGGTTTTAGCCGAAAAAAACGACCATGTATAGGAAGGCGTTTTTAGCTGAAAAAAACGACCATGTATAGTCCGGCGTTTTTTGCCAAAAAAAACGACCATGTATTAGAAGGCGGTTTTAGCCGAAAAAAACGACCATGTATAGTAAGGCGTTTTTTGCCGAAAAAAACGACCATGTATAAGAAGGCGTTGTTAGCCGAAAAAAACGACCATGTATAGTAAGGCGTTTTTAGCCGAAAAAACCGACTATGTGTAGTAAGGCGTTTTTTGACAAAAAAAAACGACCATGTATAGCAAGGTGTTTTT